CTCTCTCTCTCTCTCTCTCTCTCTCTCTCTCTCTCTACTCGTTATCGATCGTATCGAGAGGCGACCTCGAAGTGTGCGAGCAATTGTCTCGTTTTGGGATCGCGATCACGCACAGATCTCCACGATGAATTTAACCAGCACCGATTCACAGATTTACGACTTTGTCCTTTGTCGTTTCGAGCACCAACAGCGGATTGTGTTTCTTCCTCTAGCTGTAGCAGCACCAGCAGCAGCACCAGCAGCAGCACCAGCAGTAGTTCAGAGACGACGATGACATCGCGCTCCATCGGGTACCGAGTATAAAGGGACGCATGCGTCGAACCAAAGATTTTCAAAACGTCCCTCTGGCATTTCAGCCACCGCCACCGCCGCCGCGCTACCACCGCCACCACCGCGGCCCACGAGTATCCTTGACGCGTGCTCTCCTCTTCCTTCACTCTGCACAAAGTGCGCGGCCTCGCGCGCGAGCTTCCGCGAGTGCAATTAGTCGCGCGTCTAATCACGCGGCAGGCGACGTCTCGTCGTAGATGCTTTTCGCATTTGAATTCACATCGCCTCCTCGACAATCGATAGCTCGACGCGATTGAAGATTATTCATGGTGATTCATGGAGAAGAGGTATTGCTGTCTTCGCGTTGCGTTTGAGAATGCAGTGTTCTCGTAACAAAAGTATTCGTGTATACGTACTTGTGCCGTATTTCGCTTGTTGCTTGCGTGATTTCAGGCAATGTTATACATCGGAGTAAACCGGAGCGTCTTGCGCACTTTCAATTCAATTCAATTCTGGCGCTATCAGTGCGCATTCAGTCAACACTCGAAGCACATTTACGGACAACCGTCAGTTCTAATCTGATTTTCCTCTCCGGTGAAGTTGCCGGCTGAATCCTCGAGACTCGACAATCCGAATAACGAACGTGGTGCACTCCTGTCTCGCCCTGCTAGACGCCCACTACGTACCGCCGTCGAGGCGCGACGTTCTATTTAAGGCGTCGCGGGTGCCGCGATGAAGTGCGAAACATTTCGATCGCACCCGTTCGATTTTCCCCCGTGATATACGTGTCAATGCCTCGCGGTTGCACGTTCCATTTATAGTTGTAGGCAGCTGCACGTTCGCGGCCCACACGACGTGTCGCGCCGTTTCGCAAACACCACGACACACACCATACGCGATGCCGCGCGCGCGCGCGCGAATACGCACGTGCGTATTCGCGCACGAACGGATATATCACGCACGACACGGTCAAGCGCGCTCTCGTTTCCCTCGGAAAGTTGATTACCGCGTTTCCTCCGATTTTGTCCGCCGTTATACGCCGACACACTATCCGATCGGCCGGAATAATCGCCGGATCTATCGTATTTCAGCGACTGCGGCCGCGAGTTCCTCTTGCTGAGTGCGACGGGACCGTTTCGCGGTGTCTTACAACCGGAAATGGGCTCAATCGATCCCCTGTCCTGTCGATCGGTCTGGGGAATATGAATGGCATTCCTTATTGATTCATCACCTCTCCCACGGAGGAAATGCCGACAGGAAGAGGAGAACGCAGCGACGCAGCGACGTGCGTCTCGATCAATTTTACTTCCATTTTATATTTCCTTGCAAAATCACGATCCAGCAAGAAACGATTGATTGTCGAGTAATCCTAATTCACTTAAACTGCTCTTTAGAAAGCAAATATATCTAGACACACATGTCACCTCCAGCATAGGTGTGAGCTAGCCGAAGATTAGATTGCCATGTTTAGCAACGTTGAACGAACAGTGTATGTGGTAAAATGCGAGTCTAGACACCTCGTCTTGGCCAATCTTTCAGTAATGAGCCAACGATAACGAGATAAACAGAGATAACTACACGGCAAACTTCACTGTGCCAAGTTGTCCCGGCTACTGAAGATACGCGTGGATATGCGCATCGCGAAGACGACGAGAGCAATTAAAGGGAAATCGCGCACAACTCCGCGTGTCGGTAATACGTGCTGACGGAAAGGGGAACGCGCAAGGAAAAGCGGATTCCATCGATCGAGGAAGAGAGAGAGAGAGAGAGAGAGAGAGAAACACGTCACTCATCCAGCAATAATCAGAACAACTTGACACACATACACACACTGCGCGCAATCAACGATAGGTTCAGTATCGCGTCTCACTCGGTCGCGCGTGGTAAACATAGATAATATATGAAAGCCGTTCTCGCCAAGCACGATTGGCTCGGCCTGGTCGCGAACGAACCGATTCTCGTCGGTCGATCGATTTTCCCGTCGTCGACGAGTCAAAACGAACCGAAAAAGAAGCGTAAGAAGCTTCGCCGAGCGCTTCGCGTTAACGAGGCTGCAGTTGCAGAGGCTCGGCAGCGAGAAGCAAGAGAGAGAGCTGCTCCGAGAAGCCGCGTTCAGTATTAGTGGCTGAAATAAACTGACGTAGGTTAGGGGATCGAAGAACAGCTGGGCTCGGCCTGGCCTGGCTGGCTGGCTGCTGTACACGCCATCACTGACTCACACGATCTATCCTCCCCCTCCTTCTATCTCCCGCTCTCTTTCTGTTTCTCCTCTCCATCGCGCCCATTGACGTCTCCTCGACGCTCCGGGGATCGCTTCTTTCTCCTGCCTACGTGGTCTCTCGCCGAGCAACTTTTCTTTTCTCCGTACAATTAGGAGAGGTCTGTGCGCAAATAATTCTCCCTTTACGGAAAGACTCATATTGTTCTCGCGATCGATTCGGATTAAATGACAAATTGTTTATTAACGTCAGGTGAGACGTTCCGGCGCGATATCAGTCCGTGATTCATGTTTGCTTCAGCGAAGATTGTATCGTTCACCACGACTCCTCGTGATTCAATGAGAAATTATTCTCAATGATCTGTGGAATATTATCGACTGTTCCTATCAGTTCGTAATTACGTGTAATTACTTGTAGCCACTTTCCTCGCACGATATTCTTAACGCTCTAATAAACTGTCAAAGAGTGATTGTCCCCTGTCCAGCGCGCAGATATATATATATATATATATATATATATATATATATATATATATATATATTTATTTATTTCCTAACGAATTCTTATACTACTATGGTCCTCGTTAATCATTAACTTTCTTACGGGTATATCTAATCGACAAAGTTCTTTCTTTCACTGCTTCTTGCGCCGTTGTATCGCGTGGACGAGCACCCAAGGACTCTCCTCGTGTCTATCTAATCAAGAGACCGCGGCATCCCGGCTCTTTAGCAATCACGCATTTCATTAACCGAATGGGCCCTATTATTATTGGGTGGATAACAATCTTATTCAACGAGGAAATAATTTATGTAAGTGAAGGGTCAGATGAGAGAGCGACTCTCCACTTCAGTTTGCCGTATCAGTAGTCGATGGGACTCGCGTAAAATTAATGCATCGGATTTCTGCGAGCGCGTGTAAACCGATGAAACATCAATAAGCCGCTTTGTACGTTACTCGATTGCAAAAACTGCCGTGTAATATCGCGTGTGCAAGAAGAACATGAATTGCTAAGTGGTATGTATTTTAGACCCGTGCTGCCATACAAGACTATTTCTTCGTAGGTGCAAAATAAAAGCAAGTATGCACGAATTGTGTCACTTTGCATTAGCGTAATGTCGTTAAATCCTGCAGAATCGATATTGAAGTCGAAGGAAGAAGTGCATAAAATGTAACAAATTACATTATTATATATTATTTGAATATTTTCTGGCTCGTGTAGAAATTCCCAGATACCATTTGCGTTGTTTCTGTTCCAGACTCGATCGCTATCGCGCATGCAACGTTATTTACGTGTAAAAGCCGCTACTGTAAATTACCCCTTACGTTTCGCGATTAATACTCCCATAATTCGCGATACGATGCGCGCACGCTTTTCCGCGACTGTAACTTGGTTATCGCGGAATTTTTGTGTGCGAAAGACAAGAGAATAAGAAAAAGGAAGGATGTGATCTGCTGTGTTCCACGGTGCGATATATTTTAGCTATTTCGTAGGAACGAGAGAAGAGGGCCCTGATCAATAACATCAGGCAGCGCGGTGGCAGCAGAGTGGTGGCAACCCCACCGATGATTCCCCCATAGACGCAGCGCATGCTCACGAATTAAATTCCATCCCCCTCTGGTAAATTCATCGTGTGCTTCGGTTTCTCTCGTGAAGGGCGAGCGTGCAGAAGGAAAAAAAAAAAAGAAATACGCGCACCGCGCGGAGAGCCACGTGTGCATGCGTGCTGCATATAATCCTGCGACCTTGAAAGCGCGAGCCCAAATGTGCCCGAAGTTTAATACGACGGATGCGGCGGAAACGATTCGTCGAGTAAAGGAATCAATTCAAGCACGTCCACGTGTGATACTTTTACTGAAAAAAAAACTGTAAAAATATAATCTTTGCATATTCTTATTATAAAAGATAACATACATGCAGAAATAATTATATAGTTTATAAAGGACGGTTGCTGATCGTTGACGAGTTTTTTCCCGATTGTTGCTTTACACGTCTTTTAGTGCCTTAACTTCCCTTTTATGTTGTCATCGCTATGCTCTTTCTCTATTATTATTCTAGGTTAGGTAAGCGTCTAATAAAGTATTTTTATTACGTTTAGAGTCACCACGACAATCGGTCTATTTTTAATCGCCGGGGTTACGGCGATTTTCAAAGGATATTTATTAAGAGTAGCGTCATACACGCGAGTGCACCCGTTCTGTGTCAACTTTGAACTACGAGGCACATAGTTCGGTCGGTAGCAACCGCATTGCAGGCCGGACCGCGACAAATTAGTACGGATGCTACGTATTACCTTGTTCGCCACTTCAGCGTATTATGGTCATTAATGCTAGCGCTTTACGACGCGCGCACTGCGCCGCGCCTAGAGTAAACGCGTTACCGTGCAATTATGAGACGAACAATTCGCCAAGAAAGTACGAAGTGCCAAAGAGGTCGCTGGCAAGTGTCAGCAAGCAAGTGGACTCGAGTCATCATCAAATACGAAAAGAACCATCGGCTCCTCTTATATAAATCTTTTAAATTCTACCCCCTTAAAGTTGCGCGCGGAAATTAAAATTACCGTCGCCTGCCATGCGATGCCACGAGGCGGAGGGAAAGCGAAGGTAAAAGGAATAAATCGATCGCGCACGCGACTAGAATTCGCAAGCTGGACGGAGCAAGGACATGAAGAAACGTTGCCACCTGCTTGCCGAACAGGTTGGTTCGCGGATCCGCGTTGCTCGACCGTTGATCGATCGAACAAATCGACCGACGTGGGTAAGGGGAGGAGATAACAGCGAAGCCCTTTATACGAACAGGTGCGGCGACTTACCTGAAATACTACCGGATAGCGGTCGCGACTTCGCCAAGCCAAAAGTCGACTGGTCAGCTCGCCCGATCGTGCGCTCTCGGAGAATTCCAAGTCGTGACAGTATCGAGGGCGGAATCTCGAATCGCTGCAACAATGCGATAACATTGTTGAGCCGTTGGTCATCGCGCTGGCGATAAGCGCTATTCGTGGGATAAATTTATCAATGAGTGTCGAATGAAAAGGAGGACACTGCATGCACTGACTGGTTAAATTGATTTCGCGATGATCGGTTATGCGACACTGTAACGTGAGATAACGTCGTATTATGGCGTATATGTATGCGCGGATATATGTGCGTGAGCTTTATCGCGATTTATCGAAACTTATTCGCGAGCCGGCCGGCAAGAGCTCACGCTATTCCGTGCAGTTGTCGCGCGAAAATAAAAGAGAACGATGTCGCGTGCACTCACAAGATCCGCAAATGGAATTTCTCTTACAAGAGCAATGTTTCCTGCGGAGTTCGTTCCTCTTCGTTTGACGCGATTTTTCGTCGTTTCCCTGTCGCGAAATCCTTTGAGGGAAGTGATAAAAGTTACGAATCTCTCCGACAGAAAAGAAATATAGTGAGGCACAAAGCACGCGAAAGTTTCCGTGAGACTTAGTTCTGACGCGTCGAAAGTGCTTTCCCGCATCAAATTTACCCCATTATTTTGATCGAAGGTACTCACTTGCATTCGGCGAGAGGATCCTGTCCTGTCTCGTATTCCCGAGTCTTGTCGCACTGCCGTTCCACGTTATCCGTCAGGAGCTTTCCTGCAACACGAGAATACATTTTATAGATGACGAATGTCGAGCACATATTTTTGCGCAAATTTAGTTTTTTGGTCGAAAGAAGGAAAGAAAAACATTATACTTTTGTGATTTTTTTTATCAGATCGACGTTTTATTCAGATGGCTTTTTTTTACTTATTTTTATGGTAAAAAAGCCATATACGGAAATAATATTATAATTTTTTTTTCTTTTTATATAAATTCTTTTCAATTTCATTACGTTTTTAGTAGTCCAAGAAGAGATTGTCAATCTTGCTGGTACACTTTGCTAAGAAATATAGCAAATCTCACTAGAAACGTAGCAAGTGCTTTAATAGCACATTTTAGTTCCTAAAATATATAAATAGCACATATAAAATAAAAAGATAGTGAATTATTGCAGAATGTCGATCTATTTCTCAATTACAAGTAATTTCTCAATTCTATAGTAATTTTTACTATCAAATTCTCTCCATGTAGAAATTGAAAAGCAAGATTAGAATATTTATAGAACTTATACGCGCAATTATTACTACAAACGAATCAATTATTATTTATTGAATTATTACACGATTAAAATATCTCAATACCAAAATACACGATTGTTTAGCCGGTTCTGTTCTGCTTCGTACCCTTCTCAATGCTAATCCCAAAGAATCAGAGAAGAGGATAATGTTATTGGGTCAACATTTAAAATATAAGAGACAACCGTATAGATTCTCGTCCTCGACTTAGTCGTTCGTCTCTGCATCGACGACTCTTTCAAAAATAGCCGTGTGTCTGCGGGAGGAAGAAAGTAAACCGTGAAAGAACGATATACAGAACGCAGTCATTCGTGGCACTGGCATGAAGAGATTCGATGAAAACAGTGGATACGAAAGACAACTCGTCGCTGTTTTTCCTTTCTCAGTATCGTAAAACTCGAGTCTCCATCGTGTTTTCGTAATAACGGGATACCTATTTGTGTCGTAATGTTTGTCGATACTATGAATTATTGAGGACTCTGGAAATCGGAATAAGAGCGCGATTTCACGATAAGTACAAGAATAAATCCAAGTCAGCATAATTCTGTATTAATTCTGCAAGTCCTGTTAAACATGAAAATCCAATGAAAAATCTTGGAATATAACGCAACTTGTTTGAAACTACGAGTGATATATACTATTGAGATATATAGGGACTAAACCTTATATAGGATAAACGAGAAAATAAATTTTCCAAATGTGTCGCTTGAGAGAAAGAGAAATATGCTAGGCGAAAGGTTAAACACGATGTTTGATAATCCGCATTGATATTTATCCTTGCCTTATTATGACTACCACCGTCATGCATTATATGCAAAGTTCCACGGCGGACTCATGATAAGCCAGTGACGAAAGCACGCAAATATGCGTTAAGTCATGTAATCGAACCACAAATTGAATAAAGTTGCAACGCTGACCATTCTAGGTTGGCCATTCTGTTTTAGACAGAAAAGATTATTTTGACAGAAAACATCATATAACGATAAAGACTCTATGTATACTTATTTAGAATAAATGATAAATGACACTTACACAAGAAATCCATTCTTTTTGGTGCGTTTTCTCGAAGACATTTTACGCTATTAACAACATGAGACGATAAAAATAATTCTTCTTGCACACGTCCTATCTGAGATCTCTTGAAATAATAATGTTCGAGTAACCTCGTAGACTATATTTTAGTCGACCTCGTCTAGCGATGCAAGAAACGAACGAGTCGATGTTTTGCAATCTCGCGCGATATTTACTGCTAAAATTACGAATTTCTCGCACGCAAATTGCTGAAGATCTATCGCGTACCAGATTTATTTTGAATTTTGATAGATCGCCGTCATTTCGCAACTGTTTCTTGCGTGCGAGTGCGCATAGAATGACAAAATGTTGCGCAACGAGCTGAAGCTTGTTGTTACCGACATAAACCGGCTGACTTGAATGGAAAAAGAAATTTTTAATATAATTATATCGTAATAGAGTTTACCGAATAGCATAGAATTTTTCTATTCAATTTAACAAGTTTTACATGCACAAGAATACATAAATCTAGACACCTATGATAAATAACGGATATATAAAACAACAAGTTTAGTCTCTTCATAATCTCTGTATATTTTTGTCACTAGCGTTAGAAATATAAACAGTATGTCTAACACAGGCTGCGTTCCGAAATTCACTGCCAGTGCTAAAATTCTATAGTATACGTAACATGAACTATGGATATTCAGTACTGGCAGTGGCAATTTCGGAACGCAGCCACAATGTGTGCCAACGCTCATGTGCGGATAGACTCATGACATTAAACAAACAAGTTTTCTACTATCTTGCAAATAACCACGATAATTATTCCATTATTTCACAGTAACAATATTAATCTCGTCATTGTTACAACAGACGAGACGAAGAAAGGAACAATTCGATCGCAAATAAGAGATTGTGTATTACTTACGTACTTTAATCGATCACGATACTCGACCCTTTTAAATGAGCAATAAGAAAGCAACATAGATACATGTAGGAACACGTGTCAAAAAGATTGCTTTTCCTTTCGTTGTACAAATTGTTACATAGTTATTTTTATTTTATTAGGAAAAATAATATCGTCCTATATTTATCAGATTGAATGAAACGTCTCTTGCGATATTGCGAGAGAAAGTATCACTGAACGTTGACAAACATAAATGGAGTTTGGCGACTGCATTGATTTCGGCTCGTAAAGCGCAAGAGGCATAACGACTAACGACATCACGATGCAAAGCGAACGCGGCGGACTCGCTCGTGGTGGACGCGGCGGAATTGGCTGTGACAGTTCTCGTCGAGCGGCGCCAGGAAAAAGCCGGTGGTGAACTTTTGCTCGGAGATGTCACGGCGCTTTTGCTCCCGTTTCCCGACTCGCTCCTCGTATATTTCCCTTCGGCCCGCCTTATTCTCCGACGTGAAGCGCTTTGGCATCTAGATGGCATCGGTCCAACTGTTGGTATTCGAGCCTCTAGACGCCACTTGCCAGACCGGGCACAGCATCGATGTCCGGATTCGTCCGTGAAAGCTTAAATCGAACCTCGTCGACGATCCAATCGTCTAGCATCGATAACATCATCGAGGAAACGAAAGTCTACGAGCGCGCGTTATCGGAAATTCTCGGAAATAAAACCGTTCTCGCCTCGATAACGCGGCAGCACGTAAAGAGGATTCAATCTTTGAGTACGCTTAGCGCCATCCGAGCGTGATTTTTTAATAATCCGAATGCGCCGAAAAATTTCCGTCTATGTGTTACCGTCAAATGTCATCAGTAATATTGTCGCGCAGTATCTTCACTACTTATTTTCACTACTTTCTATATATAATGTATAAGGCTATTTTACGAGGCTAATAAGACATGAATAATGCAGCAGGCACAAATTCGTATTATCGCTTATGTAGCTTTTTGCCGGGCGCTCATTTGCATCCTCTCGCAGTTAAGGTTATTCCCGCGACCACGAGGCTCAACCGGGAGTTCAATGCACCAGTTGCGATGTCATATGTAAGTATAGTTACCGCGAGACTAGACTAGAAGAAGTATAGTGCTATGAGATCGATGCGTCGGAGGCGAGACTACACGAATCGATGAAACCTTCGCGTTTTCCCGTCTATACGAAATTCTTACACCAGGATTATCTCAATGACTCTTTCGTCAATATCAACGTAGAGAATCTCGAAATCGCGGCGAATTGGTCGATCGGAGGAGACACGGCGAGATGTATCGCCTCACCTTTCTCATAGTTCTTCTGCACGAAGGAGAAGTTGTGATTCACGTCCGGCGGATCGGCGTTGTCGAAGAGGTCGGAGGACAATTGGCGTTGCAGGAGGATCGTCTCGTGTGTGAGCTCGCGCACTTGGATGAGAAGTTCCTCATAGCTGGAAACTGGTAGCGTCATCGCTGTTGCGTTTTCCGTGCTTCAACGCGCTCCTGCGCACGAGTCTCGTGCGAACAGCCATCCGACTTTAATTCTGAAACACAAGTGAAATATTCATACATGGTGAGTTGCTGTCAGGCAGAATGCAAGATTAACTAAGTTCGGTGCCGGTCGTATCTCGCGTTGGCGCGGACGAGACATATTAGAGACGTATATTACGTTTCACTGCTAACGTACCGCGAAGAAAAATAATTAACTGATATCAGTTCTGATAGCAAGGATAATTAACTCTAATCAAAACGGATGAAGAGTAAACGAATGTTATTGTTAGGGACTGTGAAATCGTGGCATCGAACACGCTCTTTCCGGACGCTTGAATAAAAAGCGGAACGCCGAGTTTTTGATCTTACGTGGTTTCACGCGGGCTGTTGAGACGCACGCGCGCGCGCGCGCACGCACACATGCATGTACACATTTACGAGGAAAGATGTTTCATTCCATCAAAGAACAGACGCTCGTGCTATAACTGTATATCACTCCGGAGCGCGTGTAAAATCATTTTCGCAGATGGAAGTCTCCGGGGAGCTACGATGTTGTTGCGAGATGAGAATTCCTGAAGATGAAAATTCGCAAAATAGATGTGCGCGTTCCTCAATTCCGCACGGACAAAATAATCGTAAATATCGAGCAGTCTTATCTGAAATTCGCGAAGAACGACAAGAATTTTTATATTCAACAAAAGCTTACACGTATCGTGCAGTTATCGTAATATCGGAGATAAGAATCTGAGATTTTAAACGCACAGGACGTCACAGTCGCCCCGATGTTGTTGCGAATTCATGCAAATGCGTTGTGGAGTGTTGCGCTCTCTCCGCGTCTAAAGGAGCTTTTGTTGGATTCAAAGGGAAGAAACATCGCGCTTGTTCTCCCTCGGGTATTCGCGCGGCGCTCCTTCTGGTACTTGCGCTCGCACGAAAGCCAGCCAGAAAGTGCATACGAGTGCATGCAACTTGCCTCGTGCATCGTCTAGCTCGAGAACTGCACACAAGTACGGCATAGTGTGCGAGTGGCGCGCGCTCGATCGATTGTGGGAGAGCCGGAGTGTGCACATACACGCTCACTCGACGCACGTGTGCGTCGTCTGCATACCGTGTGTCTCAAAGCGCGCATTGGTTCGGTAAAAATACAAAACTAAGCGACACGCAGATTCAAACGATATCAATTGATATTATTTTTATCACGTTGTAACAATAACATCTTTGTTGGCACAACAAAGAAAGAAATAATATTACGCGAAAAGAGTAAAGAGTGTACCAAAAAGTGATGCGACAGCGTGATAATATTGCCTTAGTTGAATCTAAAGAGAGAAAAGTATATTAATAGTATATTGTAACAAATGGTACTTGTGTACGTGCATTGTGAAAAAAATAGAATTGAGATAATATAGAGTCAGCGTCAGTTCGCCAATCCCTTAACGAAATAAGTAATGTATTACCGAAAAGTTTTGATCGACTCGCGTAAAACACGTCGATATTTTCCAAGACTTGTTCTTTCGATAAGGTATTTTATGACGCCTGGTATACGCATGAAGGCGAACGTACACTGTACATACACGCATACGTGGCGTGAGCATGGTGTTCGTGTGGCAACTATATAAGAAAAAGGCGAGGGTGAAACTTAGGTCGCCAGAAAGGACAACAGGGGGTGACAAGGGGATTTTCGCCTTTATGTACCATGTTTCATGGCCAGCGTAATCCGGTCCCCGACATTGCGTCGTCGTCACATGAGTCATAAACGCAAACATCAGGAGCTGTCGTGGCGTCGAAATTGAGCAATACGTAATAATACCGACAATCTCTCAACCGCGCTAATTCCGCAACTGCATAAAATGCGATAAGCTGTTGGCGTTTAAAGGAATCGAGTCGAGTTCGTGTTAGTTTGTAGATCCGAGTATTTGTTCCACCGATTATCGATATCATCGGAGAACTATCGTAACGTGAGGCTCCGACTTAATTCGCAGAGTCCGTAAACCACGCTATTCAACATCATTACGGTCTTAACAGAATATTTCACGATGATAACACATCAGATTTAATTTTTCTTTTCCTAACAGAGAGTGTGCAGCAGGAACGAGTAGCACTCTAATTGAGCAGCGGTGCGATTTGATTCTCTTCCTCGTTTTATGACCATCTTGTTCGTAGTCCTTAATGAGCGCGCGATTTCGTAATTTTTCCTAGATTTCTCGAGCTCCGACGTGCATCTTCACCGTAATGTCGTTTCCCGTAAAAAAATGACAAATTACGTAACGTGCCGCGCCAGCGAGATGCCAATCACTACCCGTATAAGCGCAGAGAGGTGTTAATTATCCGCAATCACGCGAAAGGGCAAATTTAAATAAAGCGCCTACTTAGCGGCTCGCAGAAATAACAGTACGTCGCGATTCTAGATGAAACAACCACGTACTGTACATTCCGCGATGGGAACGGGAGACGGGGGATTGTCTTCCTAATTTTTCACGTCAAGTTGTTCTCGATTATATTTGGACTTGTCGCGACCCGCGTGCATTTCCTCGAGAACTTATAAGAAGGAAACGGCACTTTGGCAGCGGGCCGCGTGACGGCTAATTATAGCTGCGGCGGTTTCGGCCGAAGATGGAAAAGCCTTGACGGGAATGCCGACCGGTTTGTCGAGAACGCCGCAAAGGTGCAAGCCTGATGCGCGCGACCCGCATCCGATCAATCGTGAAGGAAAATTGCAACGTGTTTACGGGATCATGCTGTGCTTGTGTGACTGAATCACGAAGCCGTGACGAACAATGCACTTTTACGGTAAATAGCTTCATACCGCGCCTATTACGAGAGGAAACGTTAATTCATTAATTAAATTTTAATTAACGTCTGATTATCTTCCGTACAAATTTTTTCGTTACAACTTTTCTATCTTTCTCTTCCTTTCTCGATATTCTTTATCAGAGTGTAAGATGCGAGAAGAGGGCCAGGAATGGATTATTTTACAATTTTTCGGGAGTGTTACGGGAAAGCGTTGTCGCGACGCGCGGAAGGATTTAACGGTCCACAACCTCGCGTGCGTCTTTATTCGCCGTCGGCTTCTTCCGCCCGCGAACGCGGAAGTATCCTTCTTCGTGCGTGCGCAAACGTCGTCTCGCTCACAGGAAACAGAGATCCAATACGTTTACGGTGATTTCAACTGAGAGTGCTCCATCTGGTCCTGCTGAGATCATCCCGAGGCGGAAAACGCGAGTAGAGACGTAAAAGACACGTGAGCGTCGCGTGTTCTCGAGCAGGCGGCATCCCGACATCCGAACACAGTTGCACAGGAAACACGCCAACGCGAAAGAATGATACGAAATTAACTACCGCGACCCAGATCCTGTGTCCACCGTATTATCTGCCATTCTTCTCGCGACGTCTTCGCGCGTTCATTCGTCTCTCGCTTTTTTTGCAGATTTCACCGTCGCGTCTCGGACGGCTCGGGATCATTACTGCGCGTTCCGATTCCAAAAGTTACCTACTTTCGCGAAATTCTACAGTTGCCAGTACAGAAATGCACCGAGATAATCGCAGCGTTCACATCCGCTGAGAAATAGTTCGCATTTTGTATGTGTAATTAGGAAATGAAAGATAAGCGCGCATACGTTGCAATTCATCGAGCGAAATGTCGTGCAAACGTATCTCATGTCATTAGTTTCCAGCGTGGCTTCTGCACATGCATACGCGCGCATACGAGGACCGATTATTTATATTGGAATGCGCTGCGGACAATGAAATTACTAATTATCCAAACAAAATATGAGCATCTGTGGGCTTTATTTAGCTATCATGTGCGAACGTATTCTGCAGGTACAATAACGACTGTGATGATCCTGAGCGTAAAATTATACGTAATTATCTCACATGATAAACTCGCTAATTAACTGCTGTGAGATAAATTATCCAAACGATAAATAAAACGAACAAATTATGTGGAAGGAAGTCTTTCCTTCACCTTTCTTTACCCACGCTCGACATTGTAAAAGAGAGCAACTCGCACAAAAGATCCAGAACAAATCGACCGCGATCTCTCGGTCTTCTCGTCGAGGCATCCATGCAAGAATTATCGCTCGAGCGGCGTTCGATACTCGAAAGGGTAGCAGCACGACAACACGCGCTCTCCTCTGATTTCGCGTTCGGTTTGCGAGCGTTTCCCGTATTTCGCCCACGATTTCGCCACTTAACGAATACACTGCGGCGATGCGTTAACCCGGCTCGTTATCGTCGCAGCATTAATTGCCGCGCGGCTTCGCCGGTGCTTTTCACGGCCGCTGCGGATCGCGGGCGCGTCGTAAACGCAATTCGCGAGAAGCGGAGCGCTTCTCTCTATGATAATGCGCGCAAGGAGAATGGAGGCGTGTAGCGGCTCCGCGCGTCTGCATTGCTCCGTGGTCCATGACCGGAACCAGTCTGGACGGTGAAGAAGAAGAAGAAGAAACAGGTGGGCGCTCACTCGCGAGAATCTATCTGGATGTCTCTCTCTCTCTCTCTCTCTCTCTCTCTCTCTCTCTCTCTCTCTCTCTCTCTC